GCACTTTGCAAGTCTCATAAAACTGTATTGCCATCTCTAAGATTATGGTTTGATTGTGCTGCAATACGAGCAACAAATCCAGGTGGAAGATGCAGGTTTTCTTTCTTCCCAATGAACTCTAGAACTTGGACAATATGGGAAGTGAAGAATGGTGTCAATCTCTAAAACTGGTATAAAAAACTTGAAGCCTTCTGTGCTGTAGCAAAAATACAGGATTGACAAAATTAAAGGAGTGTCCCTCTCCATTTCCGTATTAGAGAAGCACAGACTACATATGCTATCAAAGTGCTTAGTACCTAATCATAAGGATAGTTCAATTGCTTTCTTAATTTACTTAAGTGACATCCTGAGTATTCAGACTGTTTTTGAAATGATTCAATCTATATATATGGTTTATTTATTCAAAAATTACTGCAATATCTGACTTTATGATTTCTGAGTAACTGAAAAATTAATAAATCATCTATCCTCACACGCAGGAGAATTATTAGCCTGCAGCAGTAGGTCGATTTACAAATTTGTGACGAGCGAATGGAATTTATGTATCAGATAGCGGACCAAAGCTCTTTTTTAATGGTAGGTGAACACAAATTGTACCACTAAATCTTCTAATGTGAAAATGGAAAAATGATGCAAACCAAAATATTTTCATCTCCAAAGAAAAGCAAGAGCAGGTATTCATCTTCACAAATAAAAATCATCAATTTGTAATTTGTATATAAAAAATACTACTTCAATCTCGGGGCGTGTACATGAAAAACTACATAAGTGCTTCTTTTTTTATCTCTATCTATCATTTGTTTACTGAACCAAACCCTGCAGCTATTAGATGATTTTTCAATGTGTTAGTCCTAGCTGAATCCAAAGCACACGGGATAATACAATCTTAATTCCAAAGCATGTCGCACACATGAATCTCTGCTTAGCACGCATCTACAACCCATCCATACAATAATACCATGTAAATGTGCAGGATTTGGAATATGAGTTCTACAAACGAGACTTACAGGTGCTGAACAGAATGATGCTCCTGATCCCAGCAGCATGCTCCTAAGAGCCACTTAAGCCATGGAGGATTGAGCTTAGACGGGGCGACGCTGCATTCATAGAAAATCAAGTTCAGTGCACAGGAAGCATGAGGCTGAAAATCAGATTTTAGACAAAAAAAAAACTCAGGAGGATTTCATCAAACACGTTACCTGCAGAGACGATGATATCATGGAGACAGGCGGATGAACGACGTGCACGAGATGGGCCAGCACCGATTGGATCTGAGTCCTGCTAGATTTGGCAAGCAGCCCTTGCCACCAACCACAGCTCCACCTGACCACCTCCCCCAAACTCTTGTAGCTGAGCGGCGATGCCCCGACCTGCTCAAGACGATGAGAAGCGGGCGGCGGTGTCTGGTGTTGGAGGTCAACATCCACGACCGCCGACAACAGGGCGTTCTTGAAGCGCATCGGTGAGGAGTGGGGTAGCGTGGATGTTGGGGGACAAGAATAGGAAACCGTATTCATCACTGTACATGACCAAAATGAAAACAATAAATCAAAAATCATTGGTATATTGTCTCAATCTTTATCCTACACTAAAAAATCAAACAAATATCACAGACATAATCATGTGCTCAAGTCTATTGCATAATACATGCCTGCTCTCAAAATCCAGTGGAACCCAGCAGATCGCAGCCTACAAAACCAAAAAAAGTGGAACCCAACAGGTCGCAGCCTACAAAACCAAAAAAAAAGTGGAACCCAGCAGGTCGCAGCCTACAAAACCAAAAAAAATCACAGTTAGATTGGTAAGAGAAAAATGAGAGAATAATAGACCTAGGGGAAATTGATCTTAGAACAGTAGATGCATGATAAAATCAAATAGAGTAAGGATAGAGAGGGAGGAGTAAACTAGCGAGCAGATGGATCAAGGGAAAGCAGAGCCGCGCCAACCGTCTGCAGGAGCTCGCGCGGGGGGTGGGGGGCCGCCCGCGTCGGCGCGCCTCCTGCACAGGCGCCGTCGCCTCACGCCCATCGCTGCCTCGGGAGGGAAGGAGAGAGAGAGAAACAAAGGGGAGGCAGGTGAGGAAGATATTTTTCCCTCCAACCAATCACACGTGGAACGCGGTATGCCACAGTAAAGCAACAGTGGAGGTAAAGGTGAACCACACATCGGGAAATCAACGCCGTGCATTTGGAAACGCGGGATCGCAGTAGGTAGGACGATGGACCCACGTTGGAATGTCGCACCCAAAAATATTCACACTTTATTCTTTTTAGTTGTAGGAGATTATACGCTAAGGGAAAAACCGAGAAATCGTCAACTAATCCCCAATATTATTGGTTATTGCTGCTCTGCTTCCCGCCATCAGTCTGACGGAGCAGAGGAGCGGAGGAGGCACCGGCAAGCAAGGCGCTGGAGCCCGAGGACGGCGGCGACGTGCCAATGCTCCACGAGCCGAGGAAACGTCCGTTGCCGAGGCCACAGAAGAGCCCGTCCACGATGCTGCTGGGCTCGGCGGCTTCCAGGATCCTCGAGTAGTCGAGGTAATCGGCCATGTCGTCGTCGCCTGCGGCGGCGGCCTGCGACTGCAACTCGAGCAGCGCGGCGGGCGGGCCCGCCATGGCGTCGTCGTCCCTGGCGTGGCGCGCAGCGGCGTCCTCGGGGAAGTTGAGCTTGGCGCCGCCTTGTGCGGGTCCCGGATCTCCGCCGCCCACTCCCCCCACGGCCGCCGCCTCAGGCCTCGGTACTTCCTCGCCGCGGGCGGCGCGCTGCCGCTGCCGGCGCCGCCACCCCCGCGACGAGCTGCCCGTGGTGATGGTGAGCAGCGCTGTCGTCGTCCGCGCGGTGCCACGGTGGCATGACGAGCGCCGGCGCCTGGCGCGGCGGCCGCGGCCGCTGGATACGACGTGCGTGAGCGCCGACACGATCGCCGCCGTCTCCGCCGCCAGCGACTGCTTCGAGCACCCCATCGTCGGTGTCGACGTCGGCGTCGGCGTCGGCGGCTGCATTGATCTTTTTCCAGCATAAAGCCGCATGGCATCACGAACGCTCCGGGTTTTTTAGCTCGTCCTCTAAGAAATGGCAGAGTCGCAGAGAGAGGGAGCTCGAGCACGCTGCAGCTTCGTCGTCACGCCCACGCGGAAGCGAACTTGGATTACGCCTGCATTAGCATTAGCATTAGCATTAGCATTAGCATTAGCATTAGCAGCACCGCAGCAGCCAGCGGCACGGACGAGTACGCAGGCACGCGCCATCCGCTTCTTGAAGCTACTAACAGCATTGCGATCGATAAACAAGGCCATAAAAATCCACGAACCGACCTAGGCGAACGCTGTCTTGGTGGCTAAGGATACGACGGTGCGTAGCACGCTGCCATGGCCCATGGATCTCATCGTCTGACGTCTGCAGTCTGCATTTCCCCGTTTGGACTCTTCTTCCTAGTTTGGAAGAAACCTCGGACGGAACAAAAGCCGCGAATCTCCGAGACTGCTAGTGCTAGGTCGGCGTCGGCCGCTGTGGATACTGGATAATAGGAAGCGAAAGCAGAGATACATACATTATTTTATTCATTCATAGAAGGAGAAGAAATGTTCTTTTGGTCCCAATTTTAATATCGACATTTCCAAAAATATAATTTCAGTCTAGTCAACTCTGACGTCAGACTGCTGACGTAACCTTTGCTTCCGCTAGCAGGATTGTCCTACGTGGCCGAGGGGGAAGAACCGCATTTTTTATTGGGGAAATTCCTTCTATATTATCCAAAACTATAATTGTTCTATATGTACCAATAAAAAATATAGATTAATTATCATCGATTTATTTATTTTTTCTGTTTTTCCTCCCCTATATGCCAATACCGTCCATCCGAAAATACAAAATCACTTACTCATCATTAATTTAGATTTTTTTTTATTTTCTTGCGTGCCATTGTTTTTTAATTTGGTGCACAATCTAATAGACACTAGATTGCACATTTTATTCTTTCCTGGCCACGTTCTTCTTAGCCTACTACGTCCCTGTGGCTTGTGGTCTTGAAAGTGATTACTACACACAAACAAAAGTCTAAGGGCCTGTTTGTTCAGATGGAATTGGATTGTATTTCAAGAATGAAGAATCACATTTCATTTTAGATCTTGATTGAAGTATGGTCACCGGTGAAAGCTTCATGGTAGCAGTGAAGATCTCCCACAAGGAGCTTTTTATGCAGGACTCGCAAGAGACGAGTGAAGTGGATCGGCCACACGGGGTGGCAATGAATCTCACTTTTCATTTCTTACTATCTATTTTTCCATTTCTTACCCTCTGAGTTTGACATAGGTTTGTACTTAAGATTTGGAAAGTGGTGGAATACCAAATTCTAAGCTAAATAGACTAGTTCATGGAGTAAATTCTAGTTCAACTCATCAAATTAAAGGGTTCAAACGGGCCCTAAGGGACATTTTTTTTGGCACTGACAAAACTGCTTTAAGAGGATGATATACAACACAAAAGGGAAAACAAATTTGAATCAATGGCATGGAGGAAAGCTTTAATTTTTAATGGGGCATAAAGGATGTCTATAGTTTTCAATGTCATTTAAATTTTTTCTCTCTTTTTTCATTCCCTTTGCACTTTATAGGAAGTGCCAACCCAATCCGAATCTCATTGCATTACCTACAACATTAGTCTATTTAGGTATCGTGGTTTGGATCTGGCCCAACAAGCCAATTAATCCCTACACATGTTTAGTTCATTTCTAGTCTTCTAGACCTCTAAACTCCAACTATCCCTACGGACCTCAAATAATCTTAAAGCCTTAGATAGCCTTGCGCCCCAATCCAACCCAATGTTCAGGCCTGCTAACCACATGTCTACGACCTTAATATCTAATCATGCCTCCCCTCCTTATTCTTCCTCATGTCACCACCATACCCCTTTGCCATGCAACATGCTTGTTATCTTGCGTCTATGCTGCACCAGTGTTTACCTCTAGCTTTTAAGATCCATAAGGGAAATAGAGCACAATGGCTATGCTCCATGCTCCCAACCTGCGTCCAGGGCCGCCATGGGGAGGTGCACATGGTGCGATTGTCTAGGGCCTAATCTAAGGGAGGGCCCAAATCTATAGATATGCAACTCCCCAAGGCCCGAGCCAACGAAAGCCTAAACAACCAAGTAGATAGTGAGGCACCCGCAGCTCGACACTTCCATCATCCCTGTGACAGTTCAGTTGCTAATGCACCACCCACTCCTACTCGACTACTCGCCAATCACCGTGACACCAGTACGCCATGCCATCTCGCCTCATGGAGTCACGGTCTTGGATGGACCACTGCCGGTCGAATGGGACATCGGATAACAGAGTAGTAGCCATGGGGATTTGGGGCTCCTTCGAAATGCTAGAATTTTATATGAATCAATTTATTTTCACAGAAGAAGTAATTTTATCTTAAACGCTAAATAGTAAATAGTCGATCACCCTTTGTTTTTGCGTTTAGACTGTTTAGGCGGTTTTTAAATGGAGTTAAAATAGTCTAAACAATTTTGTACAGTACACTTACATATATACGTATTTATGTTTGTAAAAGCTAAATATGCTATAAAGTAAACATATTTACACATATAATAATTAAGTATTCTACTAAACATTTTTTCGGAAAAAAATAAATCCCAATCCACCTCATATATTTACGATTTTCGGTGCCAAATGTAGTATGGCTATTTAGCTCATTTAATAACGTTAAGCTCGATTCTGATGGACCATTTAAACGGTTTAGACGAGTTTAAACCATCTAACTGTTTAATTCACTGTTTACTTGTTTAGGTCATAAACGACAATGCTGATATTTGTTTACCGTTTAAACGGCGGCCGTCTAGGCAAACAGCAGCAGACACACATGAAACAGTACAAACTACCGCGTACAGAAGCAAATTCTCTCCTTCTTTCCTTTTTTTTTTCCCAAAAAAAGAAGCTGCGTTTCCTCCCTTGTTCCCCATGGGCCGTGAGGCCAGCCCATGAGGCCATGACCCCATCTATCCGTGGGACCCCTGACCGCCGTTCCCAGCTCGCCCTCGCCGCCGACGCATCAGGCCTCTCGTCCTCGGCTCCTCGCGGTCGTCCCCGTCTCAGCCGCCGCTGTTCTCCTTCCCCTCGTCAACGAGCCTGGCGCCCCCGCGCTGCCTCCCTCCCTCCCTCCCTCTGTCCGGCATCCTTCGCCTCTTCCTTCCGTCTGCCATCGCCACCGTTCTCCACCCTCCGCGCCAGCCTCAGCCGGCGCCCACCTCGTCTCTTCAGTCTTCACAGCTGGGTGCGACCTCTCGTTCCTCCTCTCTTGTTGATCCGGAGTGCCGGAGGTTATTGGTACGCCCTCTCCTCGCCTCACTTTTTTTTAGAGAAATCGCCCTAGCCTTACTTCTCCCAGATTATTCAGATTATTGAAGAGCGAAGAACTCTTCCTTCAGCTTGCCTTTGTCGTAAGATTCATTCATCCGCCACCTCTTAATTCTAATTTCACCCGAATCTTTCTTTTTTCAGGCCGTCTTGTTGCTGCCTGCTGTTCCACAGTCGACGAATCACGAATGCTAATGGTGTTTCTGATGCTTGGAACTCGTTTTTTTTTCATTTCTTCTGAACGAGGCTGTCCGGAAGATGTGTGTTTTTTTTTGGCATTTCTCTGTATGCTGAATTCGTCCAATTATTTGGATTGTAGGAGGAAGAATGCGAAGAGGCACCATCGTACATCCACATTGACAGCAACAATTTTTCCTACAGAAAGTGAGCAACCGATTAGTTCTGCGTTAGTTCTTTCTCAATCTGTCCAATGTGGTTTGGACTTTTGATGAGACTGGTTGCAACATTTCCTCTTGTTTTCTGTTGTTATGGGAATGTTATACTACCTGACTTCCTGTGTTATCTTTTGGAGGCACAAGAGGCAGACAGAGGAGGACATAGCTGTGTGTGAGTGCCAGTATGATATCTTGGATCCAGAGAGTCCATGTGGAGACCGGTGCTTGAACTTATTGACTAACACAGAATGCACGCCTGGCTATTGCCGCTGTGGTGTGTACTGCAAGAATCAGGTAGGACCTTTCTATTTTGGATTAGTGCTATAAGTATCAAAGTTATCTGATGCCTGATGTATTGGTTTTGTTCTGTATCATTGATGGTTCAATTTTCCTAACCCAGCGCTGCGAAGGGAAAGTATATGGTTTCAACATAGGGCGCCTTAATGCATGGATAAGGCAAAATTGGTCCATGGCACCGAAAGATCCTTGTTTTAGATAAATAACACCAAAAGATTTTGGTACACTTTAATATCACCGAAAGTTTTCAATCTTCGGCTTTTTAGCATTCTGTGAACTTCTCCATCTATTGCAGTCATCTGCCTTTACTCGGTTACTCCTCTGAGTCCACACCCAGTTTATCCTTTTGCCCTTGCAATACCCCCTTATACCATTATGGACACGCCGACATGCGCATACGCGCTCACTATCTTCTCAAATCTATACTGTCACTGGGTTCACCCTGGAACAGAAGGTTTATGGCTTGTTGGGATGAACTAGGACAAGTTGTTAGTTCAAACTAAAAATTAGTCAGCTAAAGTTAAGCTAGCTAAAAATTATTTGTGGTGTGTTTGGATCCCCAACTAAAAGTTCCATGGACACCTATCAGTTCCATTAGCTGGGCTTGCCCACCTAATGGACTAGTTGTTAGTTGGGGTCTAGACTAAAAATTATTCCACCTATTAGTTTGCTTGTTTGAATGGACTAGGACTAGTTTTTAGCCACTAGTTAGTCCAAGTGATCCACACAGGCCCTTATACAGTAAATAGCAAGCACATCTTGCACAGAGCTAAACAAAGTTAGGTTGAAAAGATAGGCTAGAGACGTAGAGTCATGTTCTTACCCATGGGAAATCTAGGAGGTCCATGAATTTATTCCTTTTTTTTGATACTTGATGGCAAACAAAAGAACCAATTTTAGGGTTTGAATTTTTGATTTCCCCAAACTTTAGGGTGCACCATCAATTCAAATAAAACTGAAAGGGATTCCTTACCTGCTGCTGGCTGGTTTTCCAAGACGAGGAGCATATGCCAGGGCAAGGGAGGTGGGTAACACCCTCTTGCTGCAGGGACCAACCCTCCCTGATCTTGTCAGGGTGCAGGCACCAGCTGCAGGGCACTGTGACCTAGCAGAAGACTATGTATGCGTTACTTGGGCACTCGGAGAAGAGGAGCAACAGGTCACGAGGGCAGGAGGGTTTGCCAGAGGCAGCTGCTCGGGTCACTCAGCCGAGGCGCGTTGAGTCATCAGGGTGAGATGAAAAGAGTAGAGCAGATTGGATCTCCATACATACAGTTTCAAAATAGAAAAGCCATGGGACAATTGTGGTGTTTCTTGTTGCAGACTAAAATGGGAAAATGGAAAAAAAAGAACAGTGAGAATGCTAACAGAAGTTAGCAAAGTGCTAAAAAGCTTAGCCTTTTGTTCTTTCGGTGCTATTAAACTGTACCATACTCTCTCGGTGCTAGCTTTTCTAAAACCGGATCTTTGGGTGCCACAAAACCAATTTTGCCTAATGTTATTTTCTGAATGCTGGTAGAATAATGTAGTAGTAAGTCAAACATATGTGACTTGATTCTGAACTAAAATGATATGCATTTCTCCCTTCTAATTCGCTGACTTGAAATGTCACATACTCACATTCAATCTTTGGACTTTGGAAATGCCCCGAACCCTACGGGAATCAGTTCAGTACTCCCAGTACCAATTCCTGTGGCATCAAAACATCCAGATTCTGATAACCCAATTCTAGTTTCAAAACGCAAGGCCCAATTCTAGGTATTCAAAATCCAAATAGGGTGCTAAATTGGAATGCTAGGACATGGTGATTTCTGTCTGTGGTCATGTGCTGCATCTAGGGCCTGTTCAGATTGATGCCTGGCCAGGCAACAAATCGTGGCCCCAGGCATCCAAAAAATCGGACGCTGGGAGGTCTGCCTGGCCCAGGCAGCCTTCTCAGGCCACCATCCAAACAGGCCCCTATTATTGATCCATGCATGTATTAGCAATTTAGCATGAGGAGCAGTTGGAGTTTTCCAGGAACCGTGTCAGTATTCTATATGACATTATTAGTTCATTTTTTTCCCTCAGTGCTTGTTTGGATAAACCCATTCTTCATGTGTATTGGAATGGATCGGGAGGGATTGAGGGGGGAAATTAGTTTGCCCTCTCCAATCCACATGTATTAGGAGGGAATGAGTTTGTTTGAATGATCCCTTAAAAAGAAATCAGATTCTAGGAGGTCTTGCATGTTGCTTATTCTTTACGTTACACTTAAATGGCAATTATGCTGACACTTAATCTCTGTGTTGGTAGCGGTTCCAAAAATCTCAATATGCCAGGACAAGACTTGTAAGAACTGAAGGGCGTGGATGGGGCCTTGTGGCTGATGAGAATATTATGGTGAATGAATTATGTTGGTGCTTTTTTTTTTTCCTTATATCCTCCAATATACTGAAGTGAATATGCTTAAGTAACTTGGAACTAAAAATGATTTTAGGCTGGTCAATTTGTTATTGAATATTGTGGAGAAGTAATATCATGGAAGGAAGCCAAACGGAGAGCTCAAACTTATGAAACCCAGGGTCTGCAGATACTCTCTCCCTTCTAATATTTGAATTGTGGCACACTGGCACTTTTTTAGCTAGCTATAACATCTAGCTTCTGTAACTGTTAGGTTTAAAGGATGCCTATATCATTTACCTCAATGCTGATGAGTCAATTGATGCAACAAGAAAAGGGAACCTTGCGAGATTCATCAACCATTCATGGTAAAGTTTGTATTAAACGCACAACATATTTTAATTTCATTCTTGCTTCTTATGTGTGTGATTTGATTATTGAAATTTTCTGTCATTGACTTGTAAGTAATTAAGTCTAATAGTTCACAATTGAAGCATACAGCCAACCGAATTGTGAGACAAGGAAATGGAATGTCCTTGGGGAAGTAAGAGTTGGAATCTTTGCAAAGCAAAACATTCCGTTTGGAACGGAATTATCCTATGACTACAATTTTGAGTGGTATGGTGGTGTGATGGTGCGGTGCCTCTGTGGAGCTGCCAGCTGTTCTGGGTTTCTTGGGGCTAAATCACGTGGTTTCCAGGTGGGTGAACAAATTTATGATGTGCATGTGCCTTCCTATTTCATGCTTGACACTAGTGTTCGACAGAAGTAATCGCCGCTATCTTTTAGTTGTTATATGCCAATCCTCTTTGTCAGACATTGGAAGATTGATTGCACTTTGGTTTTCTGCATTTGCTCATTTGCTGACATAATGTTTTGAGCCTTTGTGCTATCTACTTATTGCTTGGAAGATTGACATTCTGCATCATTATCTGGTCATTTTTGCATTTCCTTGTAAGTTGATATTTGATATGTTCAATATGCGCCTAATGTTGCAGGAGGCCACGTACCTGTGGGAAGATGATGATGACAGGTTGGTTGCACTTGTTTGACCTTATGTTAGTCTCTGTACAATATAATAATGTTCAGTTGTTCTTTTCAAAATATATTTGACATGGACCGATGAGAAGCTTTGATTCTACCTCATTCTGTTTCTAAACTTAGGTTCACTTGGATATCTCTGGGAGAAGTTTTATGTGCTTGTTTCTAATAGGCAAATAATTTTCTTTACCAACATATTTTCTTTGCCTGTTAAGATAAACTGGAAGAAAGACTGAAAACTTATTAAATGGCATAGGACTTCACATATTTTAACCAATATTAATACTACTTCATGTCTTGATTTAGCATCACAGAGAGAGGAAAGAAAATAGGGGCTATTGCGTTCTTGCCCCTACTTTGACGTCCAGTTGTGATTTTACCCCTGTTTTTGTCATCGTTGTGATTTTACCCCTGTTTTTTGAAAACGAAGCTTAAGTTTACCCCTATTCCGTGAACAACAGGTAACGGTGTCAAATGGACTCAGTAAGGACAAGTTTGCCCATGCGAAATTGCCCCTACTTATCTGAATACATTGTGATTTTACCCCTGTTTTTTATAAAAATTTGACAACATCATTACACAACTTGTTACATATGATTCCACACAGCATGCAAATATAGATATATAATATCACATCAAGTGAAAGTGTCGCAAAAGTATCCATACATCACCAAGCCTCATCCAACGTACACAATTGTATTGTTCATGAGACAATAGAGACCCAGAAACATGCTACAAACTCCTTGAACAAAAGAATCTTACATAAAGTAGGTACTCTTGTATTGTTCATATTCGCATGGATTCAATTCCTCGTTCCCTTTGTCTTATACAAGATCATATAGGCTTTACACATTGATCTGCTGCCTGGTACAGCTGGAACCTATATGGCTCTATCTGAACAAAACCATGCAGATTTCAGAAAGCTCGCAACAATTGTGTATGTTGTCCCATACTTTTAAGAGATGCAAAGCATGCCCAAATCAACATGGCAGCTGAATTGGGTCTCAAACTCTCGATCCACTGGAACCAATGTACAACCATTTGAGCGCTCCCATTGCATCAGCAAGGCATGATCCATATCAGAATGTCGATGCTTACCAATGCATTAGCAAGACATGGTGCTTATCAGACTGTCGACTCTTACAGGTTGGAAGAACTGAAGATTTGTACGAGTGATGTCCATGTCCCGGACACCGCGAGCGCAGTCCCGATTACGATGACGGCCACGTCGGTGACGAGCCCGGTCCACCCAATCTCGGCGCCGAAGACCTTGAGGTGGAACGCGGCGTGGGAGTCGCCGACGGCCAGGCCGTACCCGAAGAGGTCCCTTGGCAATGCGCCGGCGGCAGAGGCGTTCGCCGCCGCGCCGACGTCGTCCGCGCCCGAGCAGAGCGCGGCGCCGGAGGCGAGGACGGTGCATGCTCGGGAGCCCCCCGCGGCGAGGTATGGCGCGGCGGTCGCGTTGGTGAGCCCCGCCTGCACCGCGCTACCCTGCGGGCCCCAGCATCAGACGGCCGCAGACGTGTTGGTCTCGACGGCGCAGGTGAAGCCGTCCCCGGAGACGAGCGAGCGGAACCCGCTGTCGGCCTGCGGGGGGAACCGGTCCCCGCCGTGCCACCATAGGACTCTCCTAGTCCCGGAGGCGGAGGTGTTGGCTTCGTAGGCCGCGACGTGGTCCCCGCCGACGGCGAGGTCGGCGAGCGGGTCGGGACCGTTGTAGAGCCGGCCGTCGTCGCTGGATCCACCGCCAGAGATCGTGCCCACCATGGATCCACCGACGAAGGATGAGACCTCCCTGGACCCGCTGTCGGGAAGCGCGCCGGCCATGGATCCGCCATGGGGGGGGGGGGCGCCCACCATGGATCCAGCCGTCCTCCATCGGATCCAGCCGCCGGGTGGCGCGACCGCCATGGATCTAGCCAGATCCGAGGTGAGGGAGAGGGGTTGCACCCGCCACGCCGCCGGAGGAGAGCCGCGCCCGCCGCTGATGGAGGAGAGCCGCGCCATCCGCTACCGGAGGAGAGCCGCGCCCGCCATGCTGGAGAGCCGAGCGAGGAAGAGGGAGAGTGAGACGGAGAGGATGGCGCGCTGCTCGGGGAGGGGTGGGGGCGCGGCGCTGCTCGGGGAGGGGAGGGGGCGTGGCGCCGCTCAAAGTCGCGAGGGAGGGGCGCGCGCGGCGCTGCTCTCAGCCGCTGGGCCCTGGCCGCCCGACGAACGGTAGAGGATGGGGGATTGGGGAGGGTACGAGTGAATAAGGGTATTGTTGTCCTTTGGTCTTACTGTGAAGGGTTTTATTGTTTTTTAATTTTTTTTTATTCTAGATATAATTAACAGAGTTAAAAGTAAGGGTAAACTGAGCCTTAGTAGTTACAAAGCAGGGGTAAAATCACAACGATGACAAAAACGAGGGCAAAATCACAATTGGACATCAAAGTAGGGGCAAGAACACAATATTCCCAAGAAAATATGTTGTGATTATGTCTAGAAAAGCTAAACAACTTGCAATTTGGAATGGAGAGAGTACTATTTAGTGAAAATTATGCTTGCTCTGGTTTCCAGATCTACTTATCCTGACTAGTAAAATCTTTGATGCATGAAGATTTCTTTTATGGATGCAATGATTTTGAGTACCAATTATACAGCAATTTCTGTTGATCTGTGCAGGTTTTCTGTTGAGAATATCCCTCTTTATGATTCTGCTGATGACGAACCTACAAGCATTAACAAGGACATCCTCTTATCAAGTCATGGCATGGTTACCGAATACAGCAACATCAGCACAGTCCAGAGTACCGAGAATCCTGGAAACGCTGGAACAAATGAATTTGCACCAATTATTGTCGACGAACTGACAGAAAGCTCAAATGGATTAGCACCAATGAATATTGAACCATTGACTGCAAGCTCAAATCAATTCACACCAATGACTATTGAGCCATTGAATGCCATGCCAATGGTAGCTCATTTAGTCGAGAATGGGTCAACTGCATATAGCGTACAAGACCCTCATGACGTTTCTCAGAATTCAGTGTCCAAAGCTGCAAATCATGCGAATCAAACTGGATCTCAAAACAACAGCAACCATTCAGCGTTGGTCCCTGTAAAGCCCGCACCGAAACGTCGTGGTAGGAAACCTAAACGCGTTGTGCACAAGCAGCTGGATATTCCAGATATTTGTGACCGGCTTACATCATCTGTGGCGTGCGAAGAAATACTGTATTGTGAGGTAATAGATTGCTATGATTAAAATTCCCTTCTCTCGAAACAGTATATGTAGTAGTGTCAAATAATGTGAAGTTTAAGATGCAACATTTAATCGATCTAAATCCGCAGGAAGTGAAGAATCAGGCTGTTTCTGAAATCGACGCCCTGTATGACGAGATAAGGCCTGCGGTTGAAGAGCATGAGAGGGATAGCCAAGATAGCGTCTCCACAAGCCTCGCGGAGAAGTGGATCGAGGCCAGCTGCTGCAAGTACAAAGCCGAATTCGACCTATATGCTGCAATAATCAAGAACATTGCCTCCACACCACTAAGATCGAAGGATGACGTGGCCCCGAGAGAGCAGAACGGATTGAAGTACTTGGAGAACGGTTCATGATTTAGCTTGAATGAAGCGCGAAATATACACGCCTTCAATCTGTAGTTTAGGAGTTAGATTGTTTTTTTTACTGTGATTGGTCTTGTATTTAGGTAGAGAGCCATTGTAAGGTTACAGAGTTATAATAATAATAACGTGGAATCAAATCATATACACACATTCGATCTCATGTTTATGTTGTCTACCTTGTTCAGGTTTGCTAACACGCGGCCTGTTCGCTGGTTAGTTTCTGGGCTGGTTTAGACTAGCTGGTGCTGATTTGTTGTGAGAGAAAAACACTGTTGGCTGATTGGTTTGAGCTGACTGAAACCAACAAACGAACAGAGGGACGATCTGCAGGTGAGCGACACTGGTTGGATTGGATATCAGTTTATGAGCCGTGCAGGTGGATTGGTGGGCAAAATGGATCTCGACTATTTTTTTTAGTTTTTTTTTTCAGTCGGAAGGGTGTTTTTCTCTCACAACAAATCATCCGGAACAATGTTTCGATTTGTTTTTTCAGTGAAGCGAACGGGCGTGAGCACCATCTCAGAGCGTCAAATTTCTTGCATTGGCGAGATGCACAGCTATTGGACTTTAGGCAAAACTATTCTTTTAATAATAATAATAGACCATTCATCCACAAAAGAATGCAATTACGGAAGTCGTGCCAGTCAAATTAGCTTAAATTTGATTAAGTTTATAATAAATAGTATTAGCATTTATGTCTCTAAACTATTTTATTATAAAAATATATTTTATGACTAATTTAATGATACTTATTTTATATAAAAAATATTATTACTTTTTTACATAAATTTAGTCAAAGTTCAAGCTGAAAAGAAAATTGCATTCTTTCTTCTGTGTGGACGGAGTGAGTAAAAGAATAGGATATTTTTTCTCCGTAAATAACGAGATTTGTTTGGACTTCTTTCCCTTCAGCAAACAACACGCAACAGCCCGGCACTTTTCCTACTCACCCGCTTGCCCGCGCGCGCTCTCTCGTGCGGCAGCTGGGCGACCGCCGCCGCCGCCGCCGCCGCGGCCGCTGCCGCTCTACGCCAGGTGCCGAGGTCTTCGTGGGTACCTTCGCCAGGTCCTTCGCCGGGTCCTTCGGCGGCGACGAGCACGCACCAGGTATGCGCACCCTTTCTCCTCCCTGCTATGCGAAACCGAGCACCCGAACCCTAACTTAAGCTGTCTGGCTATTTGCATTCGGATCTGTTCTGAGCACAAGTGTATACATGCCTGCTACCATCGACTTTTTTTTTAAAAAAATATTGGGTGTACATTTGCATTGCATGCTCATGTGTACACTCATGTCCTTTTACTTGCTCCGTCCACTGCTGTTAGCATAAGTTGATGTTGAACTTACTGTGTATTGGGCAATGAGACAGTGATGTTGAACTTACTGTGTATTGGGCAATGAGACAGCATTAATTCTTGAAGAAGTTCCAGTTTGGGACAATAACATTGCCAATTTTCATCTGAAAACTGGGCTTGGTGATTTTGCTGAAATAACTATTCAGTGTGCCATGCTTTATAAATAAGGAGCTGACGATGAGTGATTTGCCCATTGAGAATTAGGGATACCCCATACACTTTTTTTTATTATTATTATTTATGTGTTCACACTTATTTGCTGTACTATCACATCAATGCCTGGGCATTGATTCCTTTAATTTCGTCCTTTGGTCATTTTTCGTATTAACAAATTTTATGAAGACTACTTCTGCTGGTTCAGGTGCGAATCATGGGGAAGTTTATGCATGACAATCGACTGCTTTCACAGAGCGAAGTAAATAGACGTCACTATAGTCTTGCGGCAGTTGCTGTCAGTTTGGGACTAGGAGTTGCCGGGTTATGCAAGGCATTGCATAGTGGTTTGTCCATACCATGGGTTTCTCCAAGGAATTTTTTTTTGGGGTCAGGGAGAGTATACTATGTTGGAGGTTTGCGAAATCTTGGCAACAATTGCTTTCTTAATGTCATCCTCCAGGTAAATATTGACTCTGTAATTCTACTGACATCCAGCTGGGTTAATGCTAAATAAGATAGCCTTTCCTTGGCAGGCACTTGCCAGCTGTGATGGTTTTATTTCCTTTCTAGATAATTTGCTTGCAACTGATGGTTTGCTACCTGAAGAAAAGGCTGTAAGAATGCCTCTTCTTCTTGCTCTAAGTTCTCTCTTGGAAGGTAAGATTGTTACTATGGACTATTGAACTTCTTATCATTTTCGAGATCCCCACTGTGAGATCTTGTCACAACTCTAGATTCAGTGTCCATTGCAAGTATTGTCCCTTTACTTCAGTAAATTTCAGGGGGTCCTTGTATTGAGATTTTTTGAATTGTATGTCAACCCCTATACAGTACATGGCTTATAAGTTCAAATATCAAGTGGGGTCCTCAGCTGCATATGCAATATAATGCATCCACCGGTGGTGGAATCCATACACCCTGTAATTTTCAATGGGTCCTTGTTATTTGCATTGCTTGGATCCTTTGCCCAACATAATATATTCTTGGTTCTATATAAAACCACTGAATGGGACTTACTTTATTTTCGCTTTATTCTTCTGAAATTAGTCATGTCCTGCAAAATGTAAATGTATGACACTCTGTTCTACGTGACGTCCACCATTTGATTAAAATGCTTTTTGGTTACATGCTCATAAATTGTTATTATTGTACTTGAGCTTTGCATGTTGCAGACTTAAGCATAGTTCGAGATGAAAGAACTGTGTTGAATCCACATGGAGTAATGCATGCTTTGAATTTCTATGTTAGTCACTTCAATTTGACCAGACAGCAGGTATAATGTTTACTTCTCTATCTTATTTTGATATTTTAGTATTGTTTTAGATGAGCAGTCATCATGAGAACTAATTTTCCTTATAGGATGCTTCAGAAGCTTTTCTCCATCTTCTGATCTCATTGAGGGATGAATTTTCCCATTGTTATGTACCACATAGGAGTTCTCTGGCAGACATCACCCTTTCTCACTCCAAAGTATACAAGCAAAGGGAAGGTAACCTGCCTGAATGCAAGCGCTGGAAACAAAATCTATTTGGCCCCTTTGATGGGACAATTGGCAGCATATTGTCTTGCAGAAACTGTTCATCTGTGGTAGATTCCTATGCTTCTTATTTTGTCACTGTTAAACTGTGGGCTTATAAAAAAGTAACCTACTGTTGTCTTCATAGCTGAATGCATTTTATTCCCTCTATACCACTAGATACATAGATCTCCAGTGCATGCCCCTACCTTTTCTAGCTGTGTGGTAAAATTAAAGAATCATCATTTTTGAAGTAATTTAGCCAACCACGACTGATGCTGTTTTCATATTACCAATCAAAGTAATTTTGTGCATTTTGACAGTTAGCTTAAAATACTCCTATTTTGTTAACTTTTATTGTTCTGCCCTTGTTACATATCCCACAGCTTTCATTGGACTTCGAGAATTTCCACTGCTTGCCTCTTTCGCCAGTGCTTAATGCAAATGGAGATATTGTATGACTGCGTGAACCTTCCTAAATTTCGTTGCTGTGATTCAAGATTTTGTTTATTCATTTGCTGTGCATTTTATGCTCATTAATGGTATTTTTGTTTCTTCCATTTATCCTATGACATGATACTAGACCAGTGGGTGTAGCTTGATGGATTGCCTAAAGTACTTCACTGTGGTGGAGCATCTTGACAATTATCGTTGTGATCGGTGTTGGCACATCATTGCTTCCAAATATCTGTCTCTTAAATCAGAAGTTGATGAGGTAATTATGTTCTACTTTGTATTAATTATCACTGCACTGGAAATTCTATGGCATCCATGTTTTGTTATAAAATTTGACTTTGCAATGTTTAGTATGACAACTTCATTGATAACTGTTACAGGAAAAGGTTAGCAAGCTTCACACCTGTGTCGACTATGGCACTTGCAGTTGCAGGGATATGTTCCCCCTGGAGGAAATGCCATGTTCATCATCTTCACGAGCAACAAAGCAGTTGATTATCAGTCAGTGCCCGAAGGTATCCAAAATTGAAGTACTCGTTGGGACTTACATGAACTGTCGTAAAATTAAGTAACAACCATATGTCCTCTTCCAGATTTTATGCATCCATTTGTTACGTGCTTCAGTCGGTCTTGATGGTGAGCCCATCAAACATCAGGTAAGCCTGCTGCTATATGCGAAACGTGGTTTACTCTATCACACAATGTAATTAGCGTACCGAGTGATCAGTACTTCAACTGCAGGGACATATTTCTTTCCCTTTACTTCTCAATCTATCCCCATTTGTGGGAGGTGCATTGAGCGCTGGACCTTTAGCAACGAATGTGCAAAGAGATGGGCAACAAGCTCTCCATCTATATCGACAACTGAATATGCAGATGAGCTTAAATGTCTTACCTACTGGAGGGTACTTATCAAGTCAGCCATGTAAGGAAGAAGCAACAAACAATAGTGGCCGTTCAATTCACGTGGTTGGTTACTCCACTTTTAAAATTTTACTACCTGATTTGGGTGGCGACTGGTAACAATCTGATCACTTGTCATTTTCAGGCAAATGTTGATGTGTCTAGTAGTTCATCATCATCATCACCGCAACCATCAATGAGCAAGTTATATGGTCTCTCGGCCGTCGTTGAGCACTATGGGAAATGTGGAGGAGGGCATTATGCAGTTTACAGGAGAGTTGCATCGAATCCTGACCCTGATGATCCAGGGAAACCTCTTGCAGGCCTTGGCAGGCGGTGGTTTTACATCTCGGATGGCAACGTATCAGAAGTTTCAGAGGAGGATGTTTTGTGTGTGGAGGCCACGCTGCTTTTCTATGAAAGATTGTAGCCGCTTGTTGAGTAGCTAACATAGGCATCATAACAAAATTTAGGGCAGTTTTGTTGTGAAGACTGAAGAGTCGATGTTCTTAGCGGTACGGTAAGCCTCCAAGTAGAGGAGGAAACTAGCCGTGGCACAAAAACAAGGTATCTCGGCCTCTCGCCATGGCTGTTTTCAGCGTGATACATGGACTGCAGGCGTGTCCTAGGCATTTGATGGGTCCTGCAAACGGGAATGTTCTTCTTAAAAATGCAATACGTCGGGGAGGTCTTCCTATAGAATAAATCAGACCTTCATTGTTTTGTGACATTGTAAGCAGCGATTGGTGGATCATGTGAGTTTTGTTCTGATGAAGATGGTATCCGTGAATCAACTTTCGGCTCACTGTGTTTCTGGTTTTCTTTTGTCCTTTTTGACAAGGAGTTTCTGGTTTTCTATCAGCAGCATAATAAAAAATGCCAAAATGCAGTTCCACTGCAAAGAGCCTTTTTTTTTCGAAAAAAAGAGAAGGCTGTATGAGAAGCCAAATGCAGAAGGCTGCATGTGAAGCCAAATGCAGTTTCAGTAGGATCGGAAAAAAAGGGGGTGATGTCTATCAGGAAGGACAACTGGCTAATCACGCCAATTGATAATCAGCTGTATTTTTTTTTGGAATGACTCTACCACTCTATCTTTAATCTCTCCTTTTGTTGGCAGGCGTTTCCAAGAGCTGGAAAACTGCAACTCTGCCGTAAGGGAAATTGTTTTGGTAGCCCCTCACGCGACGCAGCAAGGCAGCCCCCTCACACGATGCAGCATGCCAGCATGCCTTTTACCTGTTTTCCTGTGGTACCTGCCAAATGTTTGGCGAGCCAGCTTGCAATGCAAAACCAGCAGCCATTTATTATCTGTGGTATTCTTAAAAAAAAAAGATATTATCTGTGGTATTGCCAGTGCCAAAAGAATACAAGAATACCGCGCCGAATAGCGCGATATATCGCCGTGACCGGCAAGAATGAAAATATCGCCGGTATATGCCAACTTGTGTATGGGCCAGGCTTTTTTGGGCCATTTGTGCCCAATCCCAGTTCCCAGCCCGAGTGACATACGAAACTTGATTCAAATTGAGCGGGAAGAACCATAGCCCTCAACACCATCTTCTTCTGTACATGTGGATCAGGATGAAGATACTGAGATGGGTATGAGTCTAGGAGCTCCTCTTCTAAATCAGAAATGGGTGAATCAGATGTTTTGATGTTTATGGAAGTTGTGAGTTGTAGGCTCATGGCTCATTATTTAGTGCTTATTATTACCTTGTTTGTGAGTTGTAGGCTCATGGCTGAAGTTAGAACAATCCACTGCCGAAGAGTTGTTATTTTTTTTAGAGAGGAATACAGTAGGGGAAGCTCCTAATGTGGTAATATTAATACAGACATAAAAAGTAATAATTAAAGAAAAACGAGTGCATTCCATGGTTTTGAAAACCATGCTAAAATGAAAGAGAAGACCTATACATGAGGCTCACTGCCCACCTTAAGTGACTTGTGCAACTATTTGAAATGATGTGCAAGGAGAGGAGGGAGACATTGTTCAGAAGAAATGAGAAATGAAGCTAGTTTTCTACTTTTCAATTCAATGGATGGTCTTGTTTGATGAAAAATTAGGCCATTTAATCTTTGCTTCCCCACCCGCCATGCTGCAGTTGTGAAGGCTTCCATCAATAAAAGATTGCTGAAATTGGCCTTTGCTTGCGAAACATGCTTACAGGTTGATGAATAATGATGATCCCATCCAACTCCAAGAGAATCACAACATCTGATACTGAAGGGGCTATTGAAGAACAGGTGAGGCATTTTCATCCACACAGATGTTACACACCATCAATTTTGTCTTTCTTTCTTCTTGAGGTATCTCTGTTATGAGTGCATCCATAAAAAGATGCCATGATAAGCACTTTTACCTTTTTATAAAACTTGGAATTCCATGTTGATGCAAAGTGTTGTTAGTGGAGCAGGTAACGTGAAACGAAATAGATGAAATTTACTTGATGAAAAAGTTGTGGCTCCCCATGTGCCAACTTTCCTATACTATCTTGAAGAACTTGGATTTTGGATTGTAGAATTTGGAACTCCCAAAGAGCTTGCCCTGACATGGCAAATTGGGTTTTTGAGGTGTTATCAAGCTAGTGGAAAATTCCTTCAGGGAGACATTTTCCATTTTGGTAAAGCAAAGTTGTAACCTCGATTGGATGCATTGTTATTGGCAAAGCAAGTTGTTACTTTGAGTTATGAATTGTTATCTTGGTGAAGTTGAACTTGTCTACTTTCACGTTTGGAGTGTAGAAAGTTCCATAAATGGCGTGCCGCGTTATTGCCTTAGTAGAATTTTAGCTCAAACTGGTAGAACCATTCAACCATGGATGCCTAACAGGGATCGTTGTACTTCATAAAACACAAAGTTTCACATACAAAGATATATCAAAGAAAACTACCATAGATTTCAAACTTTGTCAAAGTGCTATGTGTCTTGATTAGCAAAAACTCCTAACTATGCAATATCATAGTAGATAAGTTGCCATTAGTAATATTCTTTTTAACATTTATCGCCCGATTTTTGTGTGTGTGTGTGGAGCATGTCTGATATTCTTTTTAACTCTTTATCACCCGATATATCGCACTTATATCGTTAAACGATAAACAGAATTTCAGCCGATATGCGGCGCTTTATACTATCTCTAGGCACAGAAGCTGCTAAAAAAATGCTGTTGGTGGTGTAAATCTTTTTTGTGTGCCAACCTCTCCATCACAAATCCCCCCCCCCCCCCCCACACACACACACACACTCCTCTCCTCCTGCATCCACCGCGCCATGTCTCAGGAAGGAGCCAACCTGCCCCAAGAAGTGGAGGGGAGCCATGATCAGGCCACCGCCCCCCACGGCAGCATCCCGGCGACGGCGACCGTGATGCCGGCTGGTTCCAACTCGAGCTCTGTCAGCATGCTGGCCAGCGCCGTCAACAACGCTGGGTTGTCCGAGCGTTCCAGCCCGGCGGTGCTCTCTACCGGTGAGGACAGCAACGCCGTGTCCAAGATCGCCAGCCCGGCGGTGCTCCAGGCCGGCGAGGACAGCAGCGCCGCGTCCAAGATCGCCAGCCCGGCGGTGCTCCTTGCCAGCGAGGAAAACAAAGCCGAGTTCAAGCCCGCAAGCCCGGCAGTGCTCCTTGCCGGCGAGGAGAAGGGCAACGACGCTGCTGGGTCCAAGCTCGCTAGCCCGGCGATGCTCCATGACTGCGACAACAGCAAAGCCGGGTCCCATGCTGGCGTGGACAACAACGCCGCCCGATCCAAGCTCACCAGCCCGACGGTGCTCCACGCCGGCGATGGTAACAACGGCGGATCCAAGATCGCCAGCCCGGCCGTGCCCCAGGCCATCGTGGACAATAGCACCGGGTCCAAGCTCGACAGCCCGGCGGTGCTCCATGCCGGCGAGCACAACAACTCCGGGTTCAAGGTCCCAAACCCCGCAGTGCTCCATGCCAGAAAGGACATGGACAACAACGCCGGACAACCCAAGTTCGCCAGCCCGGTGTTGCTCCATGCTGGCGAGGACAACAAAGCTAGGACCAAGCTCGCCATCCAGGAGGTGTCCCATGCCGGCGGTAACGCCGGGTCGTCCAGGCTCACCAGATCGGCGGCGGCTGCGCTCCATGCCGCCAAGGAGAACGCATCCAAGCTCGCCATCCAGGTGGTGCCCCGACCCCATGCCGGCAAGGACAACAACGCTGGGTCGTCCAAGGCTGTCACCAGACCAGCGGCGGTCGACGCCGGCGAGAGCAACCTCAGCAACGCCAAGGAGGGAAAGACCAACGTAGCTGGAGAACAACATGCCCATGAGGCCGACGTGGGCGGCGTCGGCGGGAAGGGCAACGCCGCCGCGGTGGAGGACGCAGACCCCAACTTGCACACCTTTACGGAGAGGGAGCGGAGGAAGAAGATGAAGAACATGTTCAGCACCCTGCACGCGCTCCTCCCCCAGCTCCCCGACAAGGTCCGTGCATGGCTCTCTTTTTTTTTTCTTTTCTTGATTGAAGTTTTCCATGAGCGATGTCGAGATGATGTGCGCGCGCAAGTTGAAAAAAATCGTTCCTTTGTTTTTCTTCGCTGTTTTCGTAATTTTTTCTATTCATATGCAGATCACCAACTACATGCGTTGCCGCGAATTCTAGATTTTCACTTATTAGTGCTTGCTTTGGCAATGGTGTGATCATTAGAAGTAAATGGGGAACTTCTGTATTTCTTATTAGATAAAATTTGCTCAAGCACACTGCAGAAACGTGTAATTGGCCGGCATACACCACCAAACGGAGAATTTGATCAGTACCATACAAATCTGTGGTTGTTTGCTAGTGGACGTCGCACCGAATAAAATAATTATTTCCACCATTACGAATAGCGGTGTGCGTCAGGTAGGTAGGGGCAAAAATGTCTACTCACTACGCTTTCTCTCTCCCGGGCAGTGGAAATGATTATTTTATTCGGCTATGTCCACTGGCAAACAACCACAAAATTGTAATGGTAGTGGACAAATTCTCCGTTTATTGGTGTGTGCTGGCCAATTGCACATTTCTATATACGGTGTCCTCCAGCAAAATTTGCCTTCTTATTACTAAAGCATTTATGGAGTTCCCCACATCCGAATTTTATCTTCTCCGTCTTCGCACTACATCCTTCATTAGCTAGGTTAGGTTTTAGATCTCGAATTTGGATGCAAATAGCAAGGGCATTCTAGTTTTTCTAGTTATATAGTTTTTCTATGCTCCAAGACACACATTATGTGTAGATACATAATAAAAACTATGTATCTAGAAAAGGTAGTACGACTTACGATTTGGAGTGGAGGCAGTAGTAAATAACGCGTTAGCACTAGATCTTTATGTTAGGCTATTGGATATGAGTTAGCATGTCAACGGATTGGATGCTACAAATTTGGCATGATGTTACCGAAGACGAGCACTAGATGTGGATACCCGA